TGTTGAGCTCATTTGCATAGTCTTAAATTAGAGGGGCAAAGGTTTAAAAATAATGTCAGGAAGTATTACTTTACTGAGGGGTTAGTGGATGCATGGAATAGCCTTCCAGCTGAAGTGGTAGAGGTTAACATAGTGAAGGAGTATAAGCATGTGTGGGATAGGAATTAGGCTATCCTAGATATAGGATAAGCCCAAGGACTAACAAAAGTTTTTAGGAAGTTGGGCAGACTAGGTGGGCTGAATCGTTCTTATCTGCCATCACATTCTATGTTTCTATGTGTCTATACAGTAGTTAGAGCACTGTTAAAGTGAGATTTCTGTGGGAAAAGCAAGTCTTGTGGCTTGACTGGTGTGTGTATTTGTATTTAGCAATGTATTAACTATATATTTCCTATCCTTACCTTTATAATACAAAATAAATACAATAGAAATATGACATATGTACAGTATTTTTTTGTTTTGTTTTGTTGTGCAGGTGAGTACAAAACAACGTCAAATGCCACAGCAGCGTGCATATATGTACACAGGCTAAACCGTAGCCTGAATAATTGCACATTTTCCTTTTTATTTTTGTTTTGTTATATGAACAAACTGAATGTAAAGGTTAAGTATTGTAGACTGTAAACATAGTATTTAGAGCATCTCACTCCAGAGGGAATTAAGACGTGTTTGGTTAAGTATTTGCGCTGGAGTAGACAATGCCAGCTGTCTTTGCGACTGACATTTAAGACTGAAGGTAGGTATACTAGAACATGGTCACCATAGGCTATCACCCACGGTGCTAAAATAGGGTCGATACATCAAATGTACAGTATTTTTATTATAAGTAACTGCGTGCATGCTACCAAGCACTAAATTTAACTTCTTCTTTTGGGAAGATGTTATAAAGTCTGAAATTAATTCCTTCACTGTTTAATATTGTATAATCATACTTTTAAATTGTATGCAAACATCACCATCTAGTGGTATAATCATAATATACATTTGCAATCAATATATTTAGGGAAAGATGGAGATGCAGGAATGCTGCCATAGTAATAGTTGCAGCAAATAGAACATTATCAATAGTGATGTCCCGAACGGTTCGCCGAATGGTTCGCCGAACGGTTTGCCGAACGGTTCGCCACGGACGGCGAACATAAACATAAACTTTGACCCTGTACCGCACAGTCAGTGGACACATTCCAGCCAATCAGCAGCAGACCCTCCCTCCCAGACCCTCCCACCTCCTGGACAGCATCCATTTTACATTCATTGTGAAGCTGCATTCTTAGTGAGCTGTCCAGGAGGTGGGAGGGTCTGCTGCTGATTGGCAGCAATGTGTCTGCTGACTGTGAGGTACAGGGTCAAAGTTTATGTTTATATTCGCCATCCGTGGCGAACCGTTCGGCGAACCGTTCGGGACATCACTATTTATCAATAAAGTATTGTAGGGGAAAATAAAATGCCCATACCGAAGAATAAAGAAACTACACATACATGTATTAAAAGGTGGCTCTGTGAATAATGGCAAATTGTATACATCCCTCACAGGACTTTTTTGCATGTAATTTAAATGCTGTTTTCATTGAACTAACATGATTTTAGAATGAAAAACTTTCTGGAGAACCTACCCTTCTTAAATCTAAAGCATTTCTGAACAAAAACTACACATACAATTCAAAGTTAAGTCATGATACTGTGGTTAAAGTGACATGAGGGCAGGTGAGACACGGGTCTGATAGAAAATATACAACATTATTACAGAGGGTCATAATATCTTGTGTAAGGATCACAGAGTAAGTAAAAAGATAATAAACAAACAGTGCAGGAGATGGAACTAGAAATGGGACAATTAAAACAATAATTACATATATATATATATTAAGAATTCATGAATTTACATCCAAGATGTAGTATATATGGCCAGCTGCTGATCATTTGTATGCTGAAGAATGAGTGAATGCATAACAGTAGGGGAACATTATTTCTAGACATACAAAGGCCCTCTAATCACTTTATGCAAGCTCCTTTTTAAAAACACAACACAAAAAAAAAAAAAGCAAAATCCAAAATAATGGATTTTATGGTAATGCTCACAGGTAAAACACAAATGCATTAAAGGGATACTTCAAACACCTTGACCCACTTTCCTATCTTGTTAAGAGTGAGTCTTTTTTTTTTCTTCATCTTAAAATATGTAGCTTTAAATAGAAATGGTCACCTTTATAAATTAACCTTGTTCCGACATCCGCCCTCTGACTGTCAGTCAGACAACTTATCCTATTATGTACTAGTCGTTTAGCACAATGAAGCTATAGTCAAGAGGCAGGCAATTGCACAAAGCAGGTGTGACAGTAGTATACAGTATCCCGGTCAAGCATTCCCTTCTCCCCATAAAAGAAAATCACCCAATATTCCACAAGTAGAAATATCCCTGGAATCGCTGACTAATCCACACATGAGCCAAAGCTTAATGCTGGAACATGACTGATTTACTGGCACACAGGACTCACAATTTATGTAATACAAAACTCCTACTCTGGGCCAGGCTAGATAATTGAGTTTCAACAATACACAAAGCTCAATTATCTGCTTGCCAGGAACATTAAAATTTTTAACAATTTCAGAAAAGTACTTTTTATAATACATAAAAATATAATTTTAACATCCCTGGGTAGCTGAGGATACTGGTATAGCCAAATCTCACGAATTTCCGTTCGGTAGTTTCCGTGTCGCATCGTGTGGAAGTTTGACCGGCTCGCCATGTGGAGGTATCCGAGCTAGAGTTCCATAGAATCAGTAGCAAGAGCCGGTCTCTGTTCGCATCTAACTACACGAAAACCACTGTTCGTATGGTGCAGCTGGTTACATACGAATGTTCCCCTCGTTCGGTAGATTCTATCTACCGAATGCCAGTTTGATTCGTGGAGGGGAACGTATACATCCAGGACTTCCATGAAGACTGGGCGTTCGCATGTTTGCCTTGCCGAAAATAGTTCCAGGCAATTCATTAGTACGCCCGCTGACCGCGTTCGTGAGTTTTAAGATGGCCGCCATCCTTTGTTCTCGCCACGTGTTCGTATGCCGAATGGCGGCCACCCAGGAGCAATTAAGTTGTGGTTTTCTCCCCGTTCTAATGCTGATTGCTACCCAGGGTATGTGGTCTCTTGTTCGGTAGACGAATACAAGCTTTCACATACATAACCAAACAAACTGAATACAAGCATTTAAACAGCAGGGAGAGGACATAACTGAAGGCACACAGGTAAGTACAAGAGATCCTTCACAGCAGGGATATGCATCCTTCGGCTCTTCGGCTTTGGTTATCAACAGATTATTAAAAGCTCTTATAGCCAGAGCCGGTGCAATGATCTTTCGCTACACAGGCCAAGATACATTTTACCCCCTCCTTCCTCCCTCCCAAATGTATCTTCACCTGTGTGCCTCGTAACCTCTCTTTTAAATTCCTTACCCCCTTTAGGGTTATATATCTCCTCTTGATTGCCTTACCCCTTTGTGAGTGTGTTACACCCCCTTTAGTGGATTATATCCCCCCCCTTTAGTGTGTCATACACCACCCGGGGTCTTAATCGCCCACCAGCCCATTCCTCTGTCACTGTGCTTTAGTGCGGGGGAAAGAGGTAGCATTGTGTGGGATAGGGGCTTTATTATTATAATATATATAGTGCTAACAAATTATGTAGCACTGTACATTAGGGCTTTAGTGGGGAGCAGGGGCGAACTGACCACTTGGGCATATCGGTCATGGACCGAGGGCCCGAGATAGTCAGGGGCCCGGCCACACAGCCATGCTCCAGCTGGAGAGATGCAGCGCGGGGCCCCACAACCTACCGCTCTGCAAGTTACCCCCCCCTAATGAGACCCGGCAGCTTCACCGCCTCTCTGCCAGGTCTCCTGCTTCCTGTCCCATGTGGCTCTGTGTGATGGGGAGAGGCGGGGCCAGGAAGTGACCTCACTTCCTGTTTACTCCTCTCACACAGAGCCAATTAGCGAGGGGAAGGAGCAGCAGCCTGGGACAGAAGAGGAAGCAGAGAGAAAGGTAGGATCTCTGTCACTAGTCACCCCCCTCACTGTCACTAGTCACCCCCTCACTGTCACTAGTCACCCCTCCTCACTGTCATTAGTCACCCCCCCACTGTCACTAGTCACCCCCCTCTGTCACTAGTCACCCCCCATTGTCACTAGTCACCCTCACTGTCACTAGTCACCTCTTCACTGTCACTAGCCACCCCCACTGTCAGCTAGTCACTCCTCTACTGTCACTTAGTCACCTCTCTCTGTGGCAAGTCAAGTATGCCTCTCACTGTGTCCCTAGTCACTGCCTCACTGTCACTAGTCACCCCTTACTGTGTCACTAGTCACCCCCACTTTGTCACTAGTCACCCTCACTGTCACTGTCACTCCTCACTGTGTCACTAGTCACCTCTTACTAAAGGCTAGTCACCCACCTCACTGTGTCACTAGTCACCCACCTCACTGCCGTACTAGTCAACCCCTTACCAGTCACTAGTCACCACTTCCTCCTCTGTCACTAGTCACTCTCCTCATTCCTGTCACTAGTCACCCCCCACTGTGTCACTAGTCACCCCCCTCACTGTGTCACTAGTAACCCCCTCCCTCACTCTGTTACTAGTCACCCCTTCCCTCACCTCACTCACTCTGTCACTCCTTCCTTCCCTCACTTTATCGCATGTCACCCCTTCCCTCCCTTACTCTGTCACCAGTCACCCCCTCTCTCACTCTGTCACTAGTCACCCCCTCCCTCACTCTGTCACTAGTCACCCCCTCCCTCTGTCACTGGTCATCCCCTCCCTCACTCTGTCACTAGTCACCCACTCACTCTAGTGACAGAGTGAGGGAGAGGGTGACTAGTGACAGAGTTAAGGAGGGAGTGACTAGTGACAGAGGGAAGGATGGGGTGACACAGTGACAGAGGGAGGGGGTGACTAGTGACAGAGTGCGGGAGTGGGTGACTAGTAACAGAGTGAGGGGATGACTATTGACAGTTAGGGAGGGAGTGACTAGTGGCAGAGGGAGGGATGGGGTGACTAGTGACAGTCACCACCTTCCTCACTCTGTCACTAGTCACCATCTCCCTCCCTCTGTCACTAGTCACCCCCTCCCTCATTCTGTCACTAGTCACCCCCTCCCTCACTGGTCACCCCCCTGTCACTAGTCACCCCTCCCTCACTCTGTCACTAGTCACCCATTCCCTCCCTCACTCTGTCACTAATCACTCCCTCACTCTGTCACTAGTCACCCTCTCCCTCACTCTGTCACTAGTCACACCCTCCCTCACTCTGTCAATAGAGTGAGGGGATGACTGGTGACAGAGTGAGGGAAGGGGTGACTAGTGGCAGAGTGAGGGAAGGAAGGGGTGACTGGTGACAGAGTGAGCGGATGACTGGTGACAGAGTGAGCGGATGACTGGTGACAGAATGAGAGAGGGGGATGACTAGTGACAGAGTGAGTTAGGGGGTGACTAGTGACAGAGTAAGGGACGGAGGGGGTGACTAGTGACAGAAAAAGGGGGGGAATAGTGACAGAGGGAGGTGGTGACTAGTGACAGAGTGAGGGAGGTGGTGACTAGTCCCTCACTCTGTCACTAGTCACCCCTTCCTTCCCTCACTCTGCCACTAGTCACCCCTTCCCTCACTCTGTCACTAGTCACCCCCTCACTCTAGTGACAGAGTGAGGGAGGGGGTGACTAGTGAAAGAGTGAGGGATGGAAGTGGTGACTAGTGACAGAGTTAGGGAGGAAAGGGGTGACTAGTGACAGAGTGAGGAAGGGGGTGACTAGTGACAGAGAGAGGAGTGACTAGGGACAGAGTGAGGGAGGTGGTGACTAGTGACTAGTGACAGTCACCACCTCCCTCACTCTGTCACTAGTCACCACCTCCCTCACTCTGTCACCAGTCATCCCCTCACTCTGTCACTAGTCACCCCTTCCTTCCCTCACTTTGTCACCTGTCACCCCTTCACTCTGTCACTAGTCACCCCCTCACTCTAGTGACAGAGTGAGGGAGGGTGTGACTAGTGACAGAGAGAGGGAGAGGGTGACTAGTGACAGTGAGGAAGGGTGTGACTAGTGACAGAGTGAGGGAGGAGGTGACTAGTGACAGAGAGAGGGAGGGGGTGACTAGTGACAGAGTGAGGGAGGGAAGGGGTGACAGAGTGAGGGAGGTGGTGATTAGTGACAGAGGGAGGGATGGGGTGACTAGTGACAGTCACCACCTCCTTCACTCTGTCACTAGTCACCCCCTCCCTCACTCTGTCACTGTGTCACCTCCTTCCTCACTCAGTCATTAGTCACCCCTTCCTTCCCTCACTCTGCCACTAGTCACCCCTTCCCTCACTCTGTCACCCCCTCACTCTAGTGACAGAGTGAGGGAGGGTGTGACTAGTAACAGAGAGAGGGGTGACTAGGGACAGAGTGAGGGAGGTGGTGACTAGTGACTAGTGACAGTCACCACCTCCCTCACTCTGTCACTAGTCACCACCTCCCTCACTCTGTCACCAGTCATCCCCTCACTCTGCCACTAGTCACCCCTTCCCTCACTGTCACCTGTCACCCCCTCACTCTAGTGACAAAGTGAGGGAGGGTGTGACTAGTTACAGAGTGAGGGAGGTTGTGATTAGTGACAGTGACAGTCACCACCTCCTTCACTCTGTCACTAGTCACCCTCTCCCTCACTCTGTCATTGTGTCACCCCCTTCCTGTCACTAGTCACCCACTCCCTCCCTCACTCTGTCACTAGTCACCCCCTCTCTCACTCTGTCACTAGTCATCCCCTTCCTTACTGTCACTAGTCAACCCCTCCTTCTCTCTGACACTATTCACACCCTCCTTCACTCTGTCACTAGAGTGAGGGAGTGACTAGTGACAGAGTGAGGGGGTGACAGGTGACAAGGGAGGGGATGACTGGTGACAGAGTGAGGGAGGGGTGACTAGTGACAGAGTAAGGGACAGAGGGGGTGACTAGTGACAGAAGGTGGGAGGGAGTAGTGACAGAGGGAGGTGGTGACTAGTAACAGAGTGAGGGAGGTGGTGACTAGTGACAGTCACCACCTCCCTCAGTCTGTCACTAGTCACCCCTTCCTTCCCTCACTCTGCCACTAGTCACCCCTTCCCTCACTCTGTCACTAGTCACCCCCTCACTCTAGTGACAGAGTGAGGGAGGGTGTGACTAGTGACAGAGTGAGGGAGGGGGTGACTAGTGACAGAGTTAGGGAGGGAAGGGGTGACTAGTGACAGAGTGAGGAAGGGGGTGACTAGTGACAGAGGGAGGGGTGACTAGGGACAGAGTGAGGGAGGTGGTGACTAGTGACAGTAACCACCTCCCCCACTCTGTTACTAATCACCACCTCGCTCACTCTGTCACTGTGTCACCCCCTCCCTCTGTCACTGGTCACCCACTCCCTCCCTCACTCTGTCACCAGTCATCCTCTCACTCTGTCACTAGTAACCCCTTCCTTCCCTCACTCTGCCACTAGTCACCCCTTCCCTCACTCTGTCACCCCCTCACTCGGTCACTAGTCACCCCCTCACTCTAGTGACAGAGTGAGGGAGGGTGTGACTAGTGACAGAGAGAGGGAGGGTGTGACTAGTGACAGTGAGGGAGGGTGTGACTAGTGACAGAGTGTAGCGGATGGCACTGGGCTGTCCTGGGAATTGTATTGGTTTTGATTGCATTTGTGTAAATGTCAAAGTTATATGTGTTAAATGTATTGTGTTCATCTGATTGTTCGGTAGTTTCATTCCCTTAGTATGTTCGAATGAAACTACCGAACAGTCAGACCTCCCCTGTGTGAAGTGTGCCTTCAATTACCCGTTGCAACATTGTTGCGATCGGGTAATTGACAAGCTGAGTAGCAGTCCTTTGTTCTCGGGGGTGGCCGCCATTCGGGAAACGAACACGTGGCGGCGGCCATTTTAAAACTCCCGAACAGCGGTGTTTTGCCGTCGAGTGTCTGGAACTCAAATCGGACACTCGACTAGGCGAACACCGCTGAGACCTCCACAAGCCCGGTCCGTTCGGTTCCAAACTACCGAACGGCCCCTCGTTCGGTAGATAGAAACAACCGAACGAGGGGATTCAGGCGAACCCTCCCCAGTCTCTGTAACTAGAGGCTTTCGTGTGATTTATTCCCTTGTTCCAGGACCGACCGCAGGGCCCCATCGCATGGAGCCCAATTCGGCTATTCTTTCCAGCGCGGTCGGTCATTTTATTCCCTCCATGAATTTCCCGAACCCCTGGTCTGATCTGGGTGATTTTTGGATATGTTGTTCACCCAGATCAGGGCTACCAGGGGATGTATAACTTAAAGTGGTACCCCTAGGTTTAGGGGTACATCCAGAAACGGGGGGAATTGGTGTCCTGGATAAGGGGATTATGATGCAGGCTGAGGGGAGGGGATGTGTGGGAGGTTACCAGAACAGGATTGGCTACTGTATTAATGAATGGAAATCCCTCCCTTGCATGGGAGCATGCTTTATAAGGCCACTGTCTGAATAAATCTTTAGTTCTGCTCCTGATACTGTGTGTCGTCTAGTTATTGGGATTACTGTTGGGATATTACTGGATTATTTTACCTGCTGGAAACCTTGCTTTATGGATTTATAATTACTTGTTCCTGAGCCTTACTGGGATCTTAAGCAGAGATAGCTTGTGGAATACTGGATCTCCAACAAAAAGAAAGCGGTACTTATTACCGAACTCATGGCAGAGTACCGAATGGATGGCGGTTCGGTTCCCGAACAGGGGGATTCGGCGGAAAGACAGGAACAAATGGAGTTCCAGAGACAGTTACAATTTAGGCTGTCTTTTTATAGAGAACACCCTCCAGTGGAAATTATTTCCAAGACCATGACAGAGGTCCAGGAATTTATACTAAGGCAACGGACAACAACAACCCCAGAACGCAACCCTGCAGTACACACGACACAGGAAGGTAAGCCTAAAATACCGTATCAGGCTTTTAAAACATATGTGGAGGCAGAGGAAGACATAGACGCTTTCCAGCAAGATTTTGAAAGACTGTGTACACTGCATAGAATCAGTACAGAGGACTGGGTACCTATTTTGGCAGGACGTTTAAATAGGAGAGCAGCAGAGGCGTATCGTACTGTACCAGATGAGGAAATCAGGAATTACAGTAGAGTGAAAGAGATTATACTGGCCCGGTATGCTATAACACCAGAGGCATACCGGAGGAGATTTCGGGATTTAAAGAAAGCGGAGAAGGACTCACATGCAGAGTGGGCATGCAGGTTGCAACGTGCAGCTCTCGGGTGGGTACAAGCTAGCAAGGCACGGTCCATGGAGGACGTGATACAAATGCTACTAATGGAACAATTTTATGATGGGGTGACAGCAGATGTCCAGGAGTGGGTAAGGGACCGGAACCCTACATCCCTCACAGAAGCTGCAAGGAAGGCAGATGATTATCTGGACGCACGCAGGCATCAAAAACCTGCAGTTCCAAAAATAGCGTTAAAATCCTTTGGGGGAACCAACTACACCCCACCACCACCGAGACAACTACTAACGCCAGCACTACCCACTGCACAGCCACGATTTCGCCAGCTGAGCTCTGGGCCCTGTCATCACTGCCAGAAATGGGGACATTATAAACGGGAATGCCCACAACTGCGGGATCGTTCCACCTGGATCTGACCAGGTCCACCACCACCACCAAGAGCAGCCGCACAGGACATAATTGCAACATGGTTCAGCAGTGCCCATTACCACCGTGGAACAGTGGGAAGTATTGCATGAAGCCGATCCAGTACATGCCAATGTTGATAACCGTCAGCACCATAGACAAACTGTATACTTGGAGGGTAAAGCGGTCCAAGGACTACGTGACTCAGGAGCTACTATAACCGTGGTAAAAAGTCACCTGGTCTCGGATCAGGCTAAGCTCAGCAAGGGTACATTTGCATTGGGGAGCGGGGTCAGGACACGTGGAGGTGGGGTTGATGCCGCAGTTACCAGCTGAGGTTTTGTTGGGGAACGATCTGGGGAGGCTCACGTCTGCTTTTGAGCCCCAGACACCAACCACAGGAGAAGCTCACCCTGTGGTCACCCGACAACAGGCACGCACCCAGGACTACAACACACTCCTGGAGGTTCAGATAAGAGACCCTTCCCCTTCCTTAGAATGTGTCCCCTGGGCCCCACCTAATGAATTCGCAGCTGAAGTAATAACTGACCCTACTTTGCAAGTATATAGGGACAAGGTTGTCACTGACTCACCCGGAGGGGAGGGAGAGAGATTTGTCTGGGACAAGCAGCTTCTATACAGGGAGTCGGACAAGCAGATAGCTGGGTCAGACCCGATAGTGATGAGGCAGCTAGTGGTGCCGCAGCGGTACCAAGCAGAGTTACTCCGGATAGCGTATGATATTCCGCTATCTGGACATTTAGGGGTCAGTCGCACTAGGTACAGACTGACCCAAAGTTTCTTCTGGCCAGGGATCAGCCAGGAAGTGCGCAAGTATTGCAGTACGTACGATACTTGCCAGAGGGTAGGAAAAAGGGGAGACCGAAGGAAGGCGAAACTACACCCCCTACCCATAATTGAGAAACCCTTTAGTAGAATAGCTGTAGATTTGATAGGCCCTCTCAAGAAAGCTAGCCCGTCAGGCAAAAGGTACATTTTAACTGTGGTAGATTATGCCACTAGATATCCAGAGGCAGTGGCTCTGACCAATATCCACGCTGAAACGGTCGCGGATGCCCTCATGCGGATCTTCTACCGGATGGGGTTACCCAGGGAGATTATCTCGGATCAGGGTACCCAATTTACTGCAGAAGTCACCCAACACCTCTGGAGGATCTGTGGCAGTAAGCCTATTATCAGTGCCCCTTAACACCCCCAGACTAATGGGCTCTGCGAACGGTTCAATGGTACATTGAAACAAATGCTCCGAACCTTCGCAGAGACCCACAAGGACTGGGAGCGATTCCTGCTGCACCTCCTATTTGCTTACCGGGAGGTGCCCCAGGAGTCCAAAGGGTTTTCCCCGTTTGAACTGCTATTTGGGAGGAGGGTCAGAGGCCCCCTAGATCTGATTAGAGAGCATTGGGAGGGGGACTGGAGCGCAGATGGCACTCCCATCATACCATATGTGTTGGCCTTCCTGGAAGCATTGACTAGGACGGTAATGGAAAACTTTCAGGCGGCGCAGACCCGCCAGCGCACATGGTCTGATCGGGGAGCCAGGGACCGTAGCTTTCAGGTCGGGCAGAAAGTGTTGATTTTAAAACCTGTCCAACATGACAAGTTACAGGCCGCCTGGCAGGGACCCTATAGGGTGGTGGAACAGAGATGCGACACCACCTATATAATTGGCCCCTGCACAGGGACTGGAGGACGATGCATGCTCCATGTGAACATGATGAAGCCCTACCAGGAGCGCTCCGAGGAGGTAACCTCCATATGTGCACCCAACTCTGACGAGTTTGACAGCTTACCGCTCCCAGATCTGCTGGGAGATGGGCAGTTGTCTGGAGATTTAGGGGAGGTTGCACTGGGAGACCGATTGAGCCCCCAGGAGCGTATCGAGGTACAACAGCTATTGGAAGAGAAACGAGACACGTTCTCTAATGTACCTGGATACACCCCTCTGGCCACTCACCGGGTAGAGACCCCAGGGCAACTACCCATGCGCCAGACCCCCTACCGCATCCCTGAAGTGGTGAGGGAGAACATGCGTAAGGACATCGATGAGATGCTCCAACTGGGGGTAATTGAGCCCTCAGATAGTCCCTGGGCTTTTCCTGTAGTGCTTGTACCAAAGCGAGACGGTACGACTCGCTTCTGCGTGGACTACAGGAGATTGAACGAGAAAACCGTGTCTGATGCCTATCCCATGCCCCGGATAGATGAACTACTAGACAGGATGGCCAGGGGCAATACCTCACTACTATTGACTTATGTAAAGGGTATTGGCAAATTCCCTGGCCCCAGATGCCATCCCTAAGTCGGCCTTTGTCACCCCATTTGGCTTGTACCAGTTTAAGATCATGCCATTTGGGATGAAAAACGCCCCAGCTACTTTCCAGAGGATGGTGGACTGACTCCTGGATGGGTTCCAGGACTATACCTGTGCCTACCTGGGCAATATTGCCATTTTTAGCAATACGTGGCAGGAGCACTTGGCCCATATAGGAGCGGTCCTAGACAGGATTAGGGAGGCTGGTTTGACATTGAAACCGGCCAAGTGCAGTATAGGGATGGCCGAGGTGCAATACCTGGGACACAGAGTGGGGTGCGGCAAGCAAAAGCCCGAACCAGCCAAAGTAGAGGCTGTGGCCCAGTGGCCCACCCCTAGGACTACGATCCAAGTTTTAGCATTTCTAGGGACAGCTGGGTATTACAGAAAGTTTGTCCAGAGTTTCCTCCAGAGGATTAAGCAGGAATAGCTCTTACATTAGCTCTGAGAATCCAAAGGAGTATAGTTATTATAGCAATCCCTTGTAGTGATATAGCAGTTTCCCCCAATAAGAGACAAGACTCTAGATTGAGGGTGAAGTAAGTCTGCT